TGTTTGCAACCTGCTACTGGCTTCTCCACTGATGCTGCAGTGAGTGCAAATACATAGTGAGTTCACCTCATTCAACACCATCATAATGTTTACTGAACAAAAGCACATTAAATAAGGATTCCCTATCCTTGAGGTAGGTTGCAGCAAGAGAATCTTGCAAGTCTGTCTGAGTTTTAACTTTCCTCCCTCTTATATCCCAAGGAGTCAAGAGGGTCCCTGTTTTTTTCTGATACATGCTTCTTTTTGTGATATATGCTTCTAGATGTGTTTTACAAGATTTCGGGCCTTTTGAGTAACCACTGTATTACTGAGTGTGGTGGCCAGTAGTATTTATTCAGGTGGTAATAAATATGGATCTCTTAATTATGAAATTTCTTTAGCTGATTGTAAAAAACTAAGGAGGATCAAATGTGGATGTTACTTTTTTGGAGATCACTAGGAAATTGAGAGTGCCACTTATATGAAGTTAAAATAAAAACAAAGAAAAACCTGAAGATAGTAATAAACTAGATTCTGACCATGAAATTGCCAGGAGTTGAATCTGACTTAGAGGCTTTACTTTTTACAGTTAAAAATTGAATTCTTTTTATATTGAATGTATTCTTGTTTATTTTTGACTCATCACAGTTGCTGCATTTATTTCCCCATGGTGATGGAGCAACATCCTGTCCTTTCTCTTAGGCTTTGTAGAACAAGGTCAGTGTTCCGGGCCTTTTCAGGACAAAAGAATTCGTCAGTTTTCTTTGCCTTTCTAAGGCTTGCTGCTGAGATACTATTTCAGTTGTTAAGGTGGTTAAGAGAGAATTTAGATATAAATAGTAAGAAAAAAATGTTTACTATGAAAATAGTAATAGGAACAGGAGTCTGATAAGCGTGAAAGATTTGCTGGGAAATAAGTCATTGGGTAAGGTTTATGAGAGCATAATTTTACTTTATTATTAATCTCAACCAGGAGAGAATGGGTCTGTGATAGAAGCATGAATGGTACAAAATAGGTAGTGCTGGTTTAATAACTTTAAATGTAATTACCGTATTTAAAATTGGATTAATCTGAAACTTATTGAGAATCACATTGAATATAAACTGGGTCAGGTTTAATTTTTTAAAAAGAGTTGCAAATATTGTAAACTCCTGCTGAGGCCATCATCAGCTCTCTTACCATGCAGGATTTATATAAGTGAATTTTTCCAGGTTTCATTGCTGCATGTACATACTATAAATACCATATATTGTTGATAAATGGCCAAAAATATTACAGGTAATCCACAGTTAAAATTGGGATTGGAAATTTGATCATAAGTCAATGCACCTATTCATTTTTTGAAATTTTTCATGGTGGTCATTAAGCAAATGATGCAATTGTTAAGTGAATGGTATGGTCTTTAAATGAACCCATTCTTTTGATAAATGGCAAAAAAAAAATGCAAATCACAATCATGTGACTATGGGGCATTGTAACTGGTTGTAAAGCTGAGTTGTTTGCAAAGCAACCAAAATACAGTCAAATGACTTGGGAAATTTTTTACAGTGGTTAAAGGTAAAGCTGTTGTATCTCAGAATGGTCATAAGTTCCAGATTACCTGTATTGCGATCAGAGTGGCTTCCATTGGGGTAGAGTACAATCACTGTATTCTCCAGCATGATGAGTGGAGAATCTACCAATGGGTTTTGCTTGTCTTCTGCCCATAGACTAAGTCAGCCAATTTTGCCACGCCTCTCTTTTCTTGGTCCTCCTCTTCCCAGTCTCAACTTAGTCTCTAGCCCAGAAGGACACATTTTCCTTGGCTCCAGGATCAGGTCGTAATTTTATCTTCTATTTCTTGTCTTTTTATAAAGGGGGAGGGGGTGCAAACAAACGGCCATTTGTTCGCCGTCTCAGCCGATCACGGAGCAGCCACAGGTTCATCCTAAGGCCAGCTGATCGGCAGAGTGTAATCAGTGGAGACTGAAAGAGAGGCCGGTTGCCATTTTTGGCTCCATGTGGCCTCCGGGGGGGGGAGGAAACTAAGCATTCAGATGAGCTCTTTTTAAAGCAATTGGTAATTCTTTCAAGAACAATCTTCAATGCAATCATAATCTCCCCTTCTCCAGGATTGAATAGGACCAGTTTGATTAAACAGTGGGAGGGGGAAGGCAGGGAAGTGCGCAAAACACCTTTTCTCATTGAAATAAGGAAATTCTTCCTCCTTCCTAATCACCTACATCCCAGCCTATAGGCAATTTACCACTCCCTTTTAAAGGGAAAGGAGAAGGAGAGACAGGACAATTTCTGGCTCCTCAAAGGTGATATACCCCTGCCAGCACAGGGACTGATACAGGAGAGCACAGCTGGTGTCTGTACTATTAACTGATACCCACCCCCACAGGAATTATTTCCAATCACTAACAGATTACTCTCTGATCAGGACAGGCCCTTTAACAAGCCTCTTAACAGAGATTTCTCTCAGTCTTGCGCTGAGATATCTCTTCTGCAAATGGCAGACACCAATGCTGCCCAGACAGCACAGGACTCCTCCATCTGTCCCCCCTGGACGCAAGAGGCCAAGATCCTCCAACCAGGAGGCAGCGGGCAGGATCAAGGCCAAAGCAATTTCTAGCAAAAGATCCTCCAAGGCATCGGACAAGGAGGCCAAGCGTTGCCACCAGGCTCTGGAGAAACAGTTCTCTAGAGCTGAAAAGAGGCAAAATATAGCAGGAGACGGCCTAGTCCCACCAGCTTACACGGAGGAGGAAATATTTGGTCCGCTGCAGCCTAGTCAGGAACCTCTGGAAACAGAGGCTGACACAGAACAGGCAGACAGATCCCCCCTAAGCAAAGGGCCCAAAAGCCCAGGAGTACCAGACACAAACTCTGCAGCAGGGCCTAGTCTTTCAGACAATCAGGGAGCCTTGTCATTGGAACACTTACAATCCCTGATATCTCAGGTCGTTGCTCAGGCCATAGCCTCTTCAAGACATCATAGGTCCAGAGCCAGGTCTGTAGCTTCAAGAGGCCATTCCTACCTTTCACAGGAGGAGGCCTCAGCATACCAGGAATCAATTTCCCCTTCTCGTTCCTCAAGAAGCAGGAAGTCTCCCGCGAAGGACTATGAGCAAATGGATCAGGGGCTGTCGGAGGATGATGATATACTGTATCCCCAGATCCTCCACCATTCATGGGCCTCTTCAACCCATCTTTAATCAAATCCTTGCTTCACAAGGCCAGCAGCACTGCAAAGATTAAGAGACCGAGGCTTCCCCAAGAGGGATCCTCAGCACATCAGGACACAAACAGCAGAGTGTTTTCGCAGCCCACTTACACACAACAATTTATTCCCTGTCCCCCTCTCTTCTTTGACACAATTCAGAATAATTTAGGGGCACCGAGGGCCTTCCTTCCAATGGGGGGACAGAGAAGAAGCTGTTCAACATAGATCTGGCCTTATCGGAGGTAATAGAGGTCCCAATAGTAGATGAACCACTAGTAGTTCTTGTTTCACCATCTACGGTATCCGGGGATGCAGCGGAATGCCTTTTCTCAGCATGACATTGGAGAATCCATTCCCATCCTTAGGGCCAGTCAGGTCCTGTGCTGGAAAAAGATTGAGCCAACACACGGGAGTTCAGTTGAGATTGGGAAGAAGAAGGCCCAGGAAGAGAGGCGTAGCAAAATTGGCTGACTTAGTCTACGGGCAGAAGACGAGCAAAACCCATTGGTGGATTCTCCATCATCATGCTGAGAAAAGGCGTTCAGGTAAGACAAAGCCCCGTCACTGTAGGAGGAGATGCTTTAGAAACCTAAAAAGAGTACCAGAACATTCTTTTTTGTGGACATCCAGTACTTCCAGGAATAATTCTTTTAAACATACATTGTTGACAGTACAAGTAGTCCTTGTTTAGCAACTGCCTCATATAGTGACTGTTCATTGTTGTGTTTATTATGGAAAAGTGTGCAACCGATGCTCACATTTATAACCTTTACAGGTGTGTAAGAAAGCTGAAGTAAGATTGTAGTCACAGTCACATGATTTTTCACCTAGCAATCTTAATTTAATGACTGAGTTGCTGATTCCAATTATGGTTGTTAAACAAGAAATACTTGAATGGGCAGACTGGTAAAATAAAGAAGCTAATTCTGGTAGTTGAGTGTGAGGCTTCAGTGTCCTAGGTTCTTTGCTAGTGCTTTCTTATGATTTGTGGACATAATGACATTAATGAATTATTGTATTTGTCAAGTATTCAAAACTCATTCAAGTAGCAGAATTTAACTTTCTTAGAATAGAATTTAAGTTACCTGGCACAAAGTATTAAATTCTTACATATGTTAAAGCAAAATCAGATTTCAGAGTTTCTAGAAGAGATGACTTTTTAATTCATTTTTTACAAGGATTGTAATGGAAAGCTCTGTTTATGATAAAATTTATGTGATTACAATTCAAGTAGTGTATTTCAAAAGTTAATGTGTCCCAAACTATGTTCAGCAGGACAGACAATAGCAACTAATATATTATTTTGATAAATCTGCATGAAGTAGCCTTTATGTTATAGACTTAATTAGTTAAGGAACAAGGATGCTTTCAGTTTTCTAAACAGTACAAGGAGTTAATACCAGTCTCTGCTATTTTACAAGAGACAAAGTATAATAAATTTACACAGGAAAAAGCACATTCAAGTTATTTTGAACCACACAGATTAATTACGCTTTAATTATGTTTAGCAGGCATCCTTGCTAAAGGACATTCTTGCTTAATCATAATAAGATTAATTCAATATATTCTTTCTTACAGATACTTGGTAAATATCAAAAGATTATGCCTATGTCTCTATTTAATTTTTTAAGTTTTCTAGGAAGTAGAAAAGTCTCAATTATAATTTATTATTGTCCCCTAAGTACTGTCAGTTTTAATCTGACTTCAGCCATTTTGTCTGTAGTTACCAGGGTATCATATGACATTCTAGATTTTCTTATTTATAATTATATAGTGTTTGATTCTAGTTTTTTCTTTTTTTTCTTTTTGTAGGAGAGATCACTACAACTGTAAACCTACTGAAGCAAAATATGGAATGGATCTTGCTGGTGACTGAATTAAGCCAAACAAACAGTATTGACAGTAGCTTGAAAATCACCAGTTAGCAGTTTCTTCACGCTCCTGTATCACACAGCACTTTCCAGAGAGAACTCATTGTGTGCATAAAATCAGCTTTTAAATCTGCTCACTACCTTTCAGCTTTGTTTAATTAAAATAGTTTTAAATGGGAATCTGAACTACAAGAGCACTCGGAGAAAAATGGCATTGGAAGAATATCTGTGGATGGTCGTTGTGGGTTTTATCATTGCTTTTATTTTAGCATTTTCAGTTGGTGCAAATGATGTTGCAAATTCTTTTGGTACTGCTGTGGGTTCTGGTGTAGTTACTTTGCGCCAAGCCTGTATCCTTGCTTCAATTTTTGAAACTACTGGTTCAGTATTGCTGGGAGCAAAAGTAGGTGAAACCATTCGTAAAGGTATAATTGATGTGAACTTCTATGACAACTCAACAGGTCTACTTATGGCTGGAGAAGTCAGTGCAATGGTTGGTAAGTAACCTTATTTTTCTTAAGTATTTATTTTTTTTCAAACAATTAAAAGTTCTTATATCTTGGTAAAACTAAAGTAATAATTTGCACATTTCTCAATCTACAAAATTCCATGGAGATTGAGGAAGTTATTGAGAAGTCAAGAGCAGGCCCTGGAATTGGGTTCTGCACGCTCTTCCTTGGCCAGATGCCTTTAGTAGTTTAAAATTAATAGAAGTTAATTTTATACCTTTTTTTACCATAGATTCAGATCACAGTTGGTTTAGAGCAAGATTAATATTATCTGTAGTTGATTATATTATTTTAGGAAAGAAAATATTGCCCATTCTTAAGTTTAAAAGATTTGAATTATAATCGGTCTTTCTAAGGATTCTGTTTATTTACTATTTCAATATAGTGTATGACATTCTAAAACTATTAAAAGAGTAATATATAACAAGATATTGGCAAGATAACATAACATTGCATATCACTGTAGTATACTTAAAATATTGGTGACTTAGATTTGTATTTATAATTTTATGAATTTTTATGAAAAAGAAATCTTAAAATACTAGCTTATCTTATGAATCTATTTTATTTGTACTTACAGTCAGTGTCTCCCGTTCTTTGGAACATGGTGAGGGTTTGGGGAGAACAGTAATTTCTTTTCTTTACACTGGAGCTTGGGGAAAATAAGCCACAAGAAAGCTCCTATTTTCTTCCCCACACAACAATGCAATGAGTTAGGGAAATGTGATTTGATCTTATCAAGAGAATACAGCCCTCTGCTTCTAGTGAGCAGATCAGATTGCCCTCAAGGGATGACATTTCAAAACATTTGCTGGGATCCATTCTGAGACCGAGGGGCAGGAGGATATTCTTGGGAGCTTGACTTGTTTGTTCTGGGACTGTCCACAACTCTGAGCCTGTACAGTGCTATGCGGTTGCACTGTTGCTCCCTCCCACTTGAATTGTACAGAGAAGGAAGATAACAGCAATAACCAAAAAGTATGGATACTTTCTTTTTTGGCTTCGGAATAGGATTGGAATCTTCATTAAATAGGCTGTCAAGTACCATATTTTGATTTATTAGTTTATATGAACATTTAACCATAAGACAAAATGTTGAGGATAAAAATGCTGTCTTAAATTGTATCACACTTGAAAATGAAAACAAAAATGGGAGGGATACATCCTGTTTTTTAACCCAGCAGAAATTTGTATGGATAGAAAAATGTACATCTCATTTAAAAGCATATGTTTTCTTACTTCCACTGTCATCATAAAAAAATTGTTCTACTATTTGCAGTTATATTAATTTTCATCTTTTAAAAATGGATGGAGTCTTATATGCAGTTGCAAATCAATTAATTCTAAAAATTTTAAGGTTATTTAAAATACTTTGACTGTTAATGATTAAATACAGATAATGATTAAAATATTTTTAATTGATATATAGGTCTAATTTTAGATGAATGGCAAAGCAATGGAGTCCGCATAAAATATTATGTCCAAGTTTGTTTATGAAGGGTGCGTTTCTTCCTCCCTTAGAGGGATTAGAATATAACTCTACATTCTGCGAGGATATATCAATACAGATTATGGCTTAGTTAACATTAGAATATTGGATTTGTCTTGCTATCCTGAATTTTGATGTATATGTTTGATTAGAACCAAAACAAGTAATCTTAGATTACTCCTAATGTAGTTGTATAAGAATAGGTTACAGTTAAAATTATGTCTCATCACTTGTATTTAATTTAAGTTCTGTGGCTATCAAATGAACTTTAACACCATTTCATCCAAACATTTTCACTTCCAGAAGGCATTCCTTTGATGCTGTTTTAGTTTGTTGTTGCCCCAAAATAAGTCCATTGGGACCATAAATTATTAAACAGTAAGCTGTGGGAGTGAGAAGTTATGTTAGAATAAAAAACCCTAATTTGCTTAGAAAGATAATACTATAAGTCATGTGTTTTGCTTGTTGAATTCATAAAAGGAGTGGTATATTATGTTAATAGATTATTTTAAAAAAGAATAGAATGATCTTTTTGAGAGGGATTGTTGTCATTGTTTTATCACTTTTAAAATAATAAATGTTTGCTCAGCTTAGTTCAAGGCTTTTCAACCAGTGGTACCACCTGTGATACATTGGCACCTGGCAGGTGGTATGTGACCATCCGAGAAAAGTGGTAGCGGGGGAGGGAAATGAGCTGAACTCGTGGCAGCACCGCACAAGCCTGAGCAAGAAATAGCTGGAGCTGCAGGGATCAGTGGAAGCTCCAGGATCAGTGCTTCTTCGGGGCTGTCAGGGCTCAGTGGAAGCATCAGGATCAGCGCCAAGCTCCAGCTGGACCTCGGTGCTGATCCTGGCGCTTCTGAGCCTAGAAGAAGCGCCGATCAGCTGGAATGCTGCAGTATCTCCAGGGTCTTGTGATTTACATTCACATGTTTGGCACTGATTCATATTTATGATGGTCACAGTGTCCCAGGGTCATGTGAAGTGACCAAAGCCTGCTGCAACCACCCAGCAGACGGGGAGAATAAAAACCAAACACCCCCCCCCCATCCCCGCTGCCAATCCTCAACAGAAATGCTCACAACAATGAAAACCTCGGACAGGAGGAAGAGTACGGGCGGGCGGGCAGGCAGATATCTTGCTCGGCTGTGGCTTGCGGGCACTTTTTTCAGTGCCATTGTAACTTCAAACAGTTACTAAGCGAACTGTTGTAAGTCGGGGACTACCTGTACTTCATTACTTTTTTCCTTTTTTGGGGGGGGTCATCAAGTTTTTGACACCTTGCTAGGTGATTGTTGGTGCTCGGATGTTGCCATATCCTAAAAGTGGTACAATGGTTGAAAAGATTGAAAAGCCCTGGCTTAGTTGATGCAAATGGCATGTAGATAATTTTTGACAAACCACTGCCAAAAAATTTCTGAGTGAAATCTGGGTACTTTTCTGATAATACCTTTGGGTGTGAATATTATTTAGTACTTCTAGCTAGAGCGAAGTATATTTTAGTTTTAGATGTATCTATCATATAAAGCAATTATTTAATCAGGTTTTGCCTTTACCCCCTTTGATTTGTTGAGAATGACAGTTAATTAGTTCAAAACATTCCAGAAGTAGAATTGAAAAAAGTATTTTTGAAGTGTGCTATGCCATATGAATATTTTTTTTTATTGGCACATGGGATTCCTTCCTTTCTCCCTTATTTATTACAATGCCTATCCTTCTCTTTCATTCCTGTACACTTTAAATGTTTGTGTTTGAGTTATTTCCTGCAACTCATTGGTGTGACTTTCTTTAAAATGATGCTAGAGCCCTGTTTATTTCTTCAATGGTAATCAGCAAATCAAATTTTTATTGTGTATAGTTCCAGATAATGAAACAAATGAACTAATATATATAAAAATAAATTGTTAAGAGTCCAACACTTTTGTGGATTACTATTGCTAGTAAATATTTTGCAGTTGTACATTTCCTAATGTAGCAATTGTTTCAAGAAGAAAATGCTTGTTAATATAAGATTACATGTACTACAAGGATTACTTTAACCATGAAGATAATTTCCCTTTTAGATTATTTGAATGTTTCTTTGTTTCTACCTTATACACTGCATCCAACAATTTATTAGCTTGTAATATCTGCTTTGTTGGCTCGATGTACCCTTATTGAAGTGGCTGAAGTACGGAAAAGAAATACAGTACTTACAACCATTCATTTAACAGCCATTTAAAGTTACAACGGCATTCAAAAAGTGATTTATGAATGATCTTTGCACTTATAATCATTGTAGCATTCCTATGGTCACATCATCAAAATTTGGGCATGTGGTAACTGAGATACTTAATTCAGTTGCAATGTCCTGTGCTCACGTGATCCCAATTTGTGACCTTGCCAGCTGACTTTCATCAAGCCAGATTTGCTTAATGACTGCATGATTGCCTTAACAACTGCAATGATTCATTTAAGATTTATGGCAAAAAAAGGTACAGTTGGACCTGACCCACATAACAACAATTTATCTTGCTTAGCACAGAAATTCTGGTCCCAATTATAGTCACAAATTGAGGATTACTGGCAGTGGTAATCCCAAAAATTCACAAAAGTATTAGACTCAAACAATTATATTAAACTGATAGTTTGTTGTATAAACTCCGTGTCTTTCTACAGCTATGAGTGAGATACTGGGTCTTATTGAAATATGGTATAAGTAGAACTCTGTCAGATATCCTGAAATGGTAGATAGTGATGAGTTATTGAAAATTGTGTGGGTTGGATAGTTATCAGAATCGCATATTTGACAATGAAATTACCCAAATAAAAGAAATAAATATATTTGCACCATTAGTCATTTGTTCTTATTAAGGGCATGTATTCATAAAAGTGGAACAATAAAATATATGATGATATAAGAATATTTGCTAACCTGAAGATCTTTTATTACACTACAGAAAATAAGAATATTTGAACTGAAATTAGTAGAGAGCAAATCATTTCTCAATTGAATTGGTGGCATCCAGTAACTCTCATCCTTTATAAGGAGCTTCTTGCCTTTGCAAGACTATATGGATGACTTCAAATTCTAATATTCCAGAAGGTTAAAATGTCCTGTCTTGATTGTTCTCTTTATACTTT